TGTCTTTTTGCATGATGACAGTTTGAAAAGGCTAGAATCAAAAGTAGTGATGTTTAAATCTGAAAAGATTACAAGTGGCAAGAAGCAGTAAATAAGGCTGCTAGCAAAATCATAAGGGAAAACAATGCAGCTATTGCTGATAGATGGGTCCTTTTAGGGTGCATTTGTTAAATCCAGAAAAACTGATAGCTGCAGCCCGACAATGTGTATCACGAAAACTCTAGCTTTGAACAGGCGATTTCAATGATGAGTATTTTATAAGCGATATGAAATTTATGAATTTCATAAGAGCAACGCTCTGAAATTACAATTTCATGAGCGTAATAAAATACTCAGCATTGAAATGTCCCACCCTCCTCCCTAATCAGAGCTTACATTTGCTTCATGAGCTTTTATTTATCTACTTTCAGGGGGATGGCTCAACCAGGCAAAGACAAGAAGCCATAAAGATGTTATAACAAGCAGAACTTTGTAAAGACAGTTACCTATTTAAAATAAAGGGGCAATGAGGAAGATAAAATTCCTTTTTTTGTTGTCACAGTGGTGGCGCCTAAATGATTATGAAGTTACAAATAATCGTCTGCTACAAGTGTTGTCATTCTGCAAATTTATCCAAATATGGATCATATTCAGGAAATGGCAGTTGTTTGACTTTAAATGGCCACAATACAGTTGTATGTGGCCAAGCAGGCACTGGGAAAACTTTACAATGAACAATACTATTAAATAACTTAAAAACAGGGGCAAAACTGTAGGAGTGCAACAACTAAAGCTTAGCATTTTTTACAAACACTGATGGTCCAATGGTATACTGTGACAGTGGTTTTAATATCTTTCATAAAATGTCTCAGTTAAAGAAGTTACCTATCTAATAAATGCTGAAGAACACATTATTGAATGAGCATAAATTTGAACGCATTGTTAAATGACTACTGAGTAATAAATTGTCATACTTTTATGCATGGAATAATGAATGTGTTAGACATCATCACACTGAACACTCCAACAATAAATCTTAGGTGGTTGTGCTTGGTTTAATGGACAAAAAAAACAAACAAATGGAGTGACATGGTAGATAATGGCGTGTGGTTGGATCGATATGTTGCAAAAGACTTGACCATCACTGTGGCAACAAATATATTAGCAAAACAACAACTACAAGAAGAGAATGTTAAGTATATAAAAGAAAGTGAGAAATGGTGGGATGTGTCATGTTATACAAGGACTGGAGAGTTATATGTGAGTGTACTACAACACAAACATGACACAAATATATGGTTAGAGATATATTGGAACAATCCTATAACGATAAACGTGCAGTGAAATTTAATAGTACTCAATCAATAGAAGATCCATCCATACACCAAAGACTACAGCAAGACAAAAACGACTGTTCAAAACATTTTAGACACTGTGGAGAATCAGAATTTTAACGAAAATGATTTAGAGAAGGGTTATATAGAAATTCTAATCATTATTTCAATGATCACAGTCACAATTGTTTTATTTTTGATGGCAATAATGATATACTTGATCAAAAAGAAGCTGAAGAGAACAGTGAAGGAAAACATCACTGCAGCATAGTGTCAACAGACATACATCACACTATATTTGATACCACCACAGACCGTAACAAATCTACTATTAAGCAAGGATAAGATAAGCAGTGAGGACGGCAAGGCCATGGGAAGGAGGGACTCAATTATAATAGGGTGGAAGGGTGGAAGGGAAAGAATGGAAAACTGGGAATATTGATTTTTATAAAGAACAATTTAGGCATTTTAAAATAAACCTGGACAGGTTCTGCTCCAAGAAGTACCTATATGACCTATCATGTTTGCTGATACCGTATCTAGAAAAGTAAGTCAACCTTCAACTCTCTTGCTAGAGAGTTTCTTCTAGCCAAGACTCTTGTGACAAAGACAGATTTGACTAAGTCTGGTGTGACAGAGAGGAGCAAGGCTTATGTGATGACTGACATGACTCAGACTGATGTGACCAAGACTGACATGACAAAGACAATGCTAGATCCAGTTCAGAAAAGCACTGGATGTGTATGCTGTGTCACACAATTGTTAACAGGCGTTAGAAACATCAATCATCAAAATGTGAGATTAATGGCCCTTTTGTAATTTGAAGTTAGTATAATTCTTAACAAAAATGAAAAACAAGGTACTATGTTTTTCTATAAACAAACAAAATTAAGCATTCCCAAAAAATTAAAAGTTGAATATAGTGCAAAAAAGGTGGAGCTGGGAGAATGATTCCAACACCAAATATTTTGAGAATCATGATAGTTTTTTGTATGTTATAAAAAAATTGAATTCTGAGCTGCCAAATCTAATATTCCATATTTATGAGCAACAGTGTAGAAGTATATGTTTTTCTCATGACTTATTTCTAAATACCAATTCTAATTTGTGAATAATAGTCAATATCAAGTAGCGTGCCCATGTCGGGAAATTCTAGTACGCATACAGAATTTATGATTGTTGCCAAAACCTACACTACCTCCATCAACGTTTATTCCTTAATCCAATATATTATTCTGCAGGATTTCATGCAATAAATGATTATTTTTATAAATCAATTGATGCTTTATACTTCATTAACATTTTCTCGAAAGTTATTAGTTACATTAGCCATATGGGGGCAGTTGCGCCTTTTATGCGAGTGTCTTCATGACTGAATCACCAGAGGGGACTGAATCACCTTCAACTACAAACCATCAGTGGGATAATGAACCAAATCAAATATGTAAGCACAAGTGTCAATTTTTGTATATTTTTCTGTTTAAGGCGATTGAAGAAAGTGAAAGTGGACAAGAAGGTGAACAAGAAGAACAGTGAAGAGAAGTATGTATTACATCACCTAAAATGGTGCATCAAACAAACTTACTTAACATGTACACACAATATAAACAGGGATAATCAACAGATATATGAGAGGGTCAGGCATTTTTTGACTTGGCGACCTCGACTCGAGGAGTTTGCTGCATTTTCTTTGAGTCAAATCGTATTGATTATATTTAACAATTGCTAAAATTGGAATAAACTGAAAATTAACATAAACATAGCTATTACATGCATTTTTCATTACAGTATTGATAGAAGATCTGAAAGTTTTTACATTTAATATTTAAAGGATATGGGCAGACTTTTCTCCCAATTTTTCAGGAGGAAAACCTTCCCAACTCTTCGCAGGCTCATGCATGCTTTTGAGAGATGTGTTGAAGCAATGCAACCTACAGCAGCAGAGGTAAATCACATTTGACAAATTTAGGCCTACAAAAAAAACATAGACAGACATGCTTTGACAAAAAATACTCAGACGCCTGATTCTCAAGATTCAAGATTCTATGATATACTGTAAAATATATCACCGAGGATTGTAATTATTCACTGACTGGGCCTTTGGTTATGGTCAGAATAAGTTGACACTTGACATTGAACTAATTCTTTAAGAACTTCAAAACTCCATTAGGGAGGACAATGAGAATTATTATATAACAATCAATATGTTGTGCACAACTTGTCAAAATTTAAAATGTGTAGCTGAATTATTTCAATGGAAATCGACCAGATTTTGATGGTAGGTATTATGACCACTTCAAATCCAATATTGCGTCAAAATTATAGGTGGTGCAAAACCATAGCACTCAATGTCACTATCTGGTCTACTTATTTATGTCACAACCAATGTATTCAAACCAAACCACCTGCTATACCATATCTTTTTCCCACTGATCAAAATATATGATATCTTTCAGCACACCCTCCCATAGCCCTAGCCTAAATGCTCCTCATGCTGAAGATGAATAAATTGTATTAATCTGTATTAACAGGGAGTTTCAACCCCCATCTATGGCTGCAAGTTGATGATGTACAATGTAAACTGTGAAGGATGAAGGAAGACAATGATTGTTCTTTCTACATAACACTTCACTTTTACTGATGGCTACTAATAAAAAGAGTGAGCATGTCTGTATTTATTTGTCAGAAAGAGAACTTTAAAAATCAACTAAAAACCCCTTTTGTATATCCAAATATATATAGGTATAAGTCAAATGTTGCCCTGCTAGCTCAGAAAAGTACAGGCCTTGTCGCCCCTTTAAATGTATCACTGGATACATATAAGAAACAATCAAATTTTAATTCAAGACATGTAGATGAAGAGCTTTACTGGCCGAATGGCGCGAGACGTCAGGAAATTCGAGAGGGTTTCTTTGATGATAGACACAGAATTCCAAATGTTGTTGGACTTGTGGATGGGACACTGATCCCAATAATCCGACCTTCGCTGCACGAGCCAGCATATGTATCCAGAAAAGGGAGACATGCCATCAATATTATTGGTTAGTTAGTTCAATGGGAATCCACCTTTTTTGATATACCATCAATTCCTACTTTTGTGCACAAAAAATTGAATTCAACTTATATGTTAAGCAAAATAGAAACAGACTGTGGTGCAATACAATACAATACAATATAATATATGCGCATGATATAATAGAAAGATATTTTTTTTAATTTTTGTAGGCCAGGAGGAAGGTATTAGATTCCCAATTAAAGAACTAATGGAGAAAGAGAAAACATGAAGGGAACAACAACCAGTGCTTTCAAAACCTGTACACCCTGATGTGTCATCTGGTGTTGAAAAAACATGTTCAGTAAGTTTTTAAGTGTAATTTTGAAATGCTCAAAAAAATAATTAAATGTGAAGCAGCAAGATGTCTTAAGCTGAATCTTATGAGTGGCCAAGAAAGCAAACAAATTATGGATCAGTGTTTCAGACTTGTCAAATTTATTTTAAAATTGTAGCTTATAGTAGATTCATATCAAATGGTAATTTTGGAAGGAACACTCCTGCATTTTCACACAAAATATTTATTCCAGAACATGGAACTGTTCAAAACTAATTTTCATACTTTTGTTTTTGTAATCATTTTTACTTCTAGGTTCTTTAAGATTACTTCACTGTTGGATGTCACCCATGTGGGATTATTCCTGGCAAACATTGGTAATCTCCTGAGGGTGACACCCTTGATTCTTTAAGGTGTGAAAACATACCTGCCACAATTTAGTATATAAGAGGGTGATTTTTGGAATAAAAATCATATCCAACTGATCAACACATCATGGCACAGAATCAACTCAAGGCATGGTTAGGACGTCACCTCACAGACCAAGATGGAGACACTCAAACAAGAGTATACAGCAGCGATGTCTACAATGATATGTTAAGCCAGACAAAACTCAAGATATCAAGAACAATGCTTGGAAGATGCCTCAAAGAACTCTACCCAGGAACCAAGCTAGTCAATGGCGGGAAATTGACAAAGAACATACCGAGAAAGTATTACTACTCCGGGGTTTACTACAGGAGCGTTTCTTCCGAAATCCCACAGTCAGCACCTATAGCCTTCAACAAAGACACTGATGACTTGGATATACAACCGTCATGCAGTGTGACAATACAAGCTATCATTGAAAGACTCGAATCACCACCCAGAAGACAAGGCCCTGCTATATCGGAAATCGCTACCCAGACAGAAATAGAATTCACCAGCACAGGATCCCAGACAGATTTCACCTCTCCATCAACACAGCAAGTCAACGACCTACAAAAGCAAATCAAGCACCTCTCTGATCTTCTTCACGCCACACAGCTAGAAATGGACCGATTATACACTATGTTAGGCTACCTTCAAAATCCCCACAGAACTGAAGCAGGTGAACGGAATCACGTGGAAGCAGACTGAGCAACTTTCCTCCCTTGAACGTATTTTGGGAAAAATCTCATTTGGCGTGGTTACCCAAAGACGTCTCCAGAATGGCACAAGTATTGCAGTGAAGCAGCTTACAAGCCGAGAATCTTCAATCTGAGAATTTCAACACCTGGCAGCTGCCCAGCTGAACAAACAGGATTCTATACAAACCCTCCTGGCAGTAAACCTCAATGGACCACCCTATACAATAGTAAGTGAGTGTGTACACCTTGGAGCTACAGCCACATCGATGGAGGATGTTGTGCGTGACCCAGCATCCTATCAACAGATAGACCCTCGAGCCCAGCTGAAATGTTTGGTAGCAGGACTCGAATTTCTTCACAGTCTGGGAATCCTTCACAATGATATCAAATTGAATAACTACCTTCTATCATCTTCTACATCAGGCGTCATTATCGACTTTGGGATTGCCTGTCCACTAGCAGAGCCGAGTAGGTTCTCTAAACCAGCCGATCACCTGTGCTACTGGATAGCCCCGGAGGTGCAGAATGCTACCAAGGCATTCTCTGTACATAGTGACAATTTTTCAGTAGGGACATTTGTGGGTAGGATTCACGAGATTGCCCCATCTCCTAGGTTCATTTCTGTTGCAACTAAGTGTTGCAACCCTCAGCCACTCTGCCGTCCTTGTTTGACTTATGTTTTTTATGCATTGTAACTTAAATAATGATGAACATTGTAAATACAACCAAATGTAATTATATGTACATGTATATATTATAGTTTGTGTAAATAAATTTTTAAATGTAACTTAAAGTGTTTTGTAGTTTGTACCCACCTAGTAGATCTATTTTCTCCATCTTCAACATTGTATGCTGACCATTACCAGATGATGCATCCTCCCCTCAATTATAGATGTGACTCGTGTGAAAAAGATATAAGCTTTAAAAGTAAACAGCAACTTAATGTTCAAGTTCCAAAAGACCACTGTCCAACTCATGTCTGCAAGTCAAGAGTAACACATAAATGGAATATTCTTGCAAAACTGCACCCTCCAAATTAATCCATATTTGAGTCAGTGAGGGTGGCCCTTAAAGAGACCAACACAAAGCTAACATGCGATAAAAAGGTGTTAAGTATTAAATGCTGAGAACTAGAGGAAAAATTATCTGAACTCACTCTACATGTCAACCAGAACACCCAATAATCAAGTAAAAAATCAAATCAATCCACACAGGCCAGTTAGTTTGACACTCCCTCAGCCCGAAAGGGATACCATGTCCTTGACAGGAGTCAGTGCCATTGGTTTCGAAATCAAATGCAAGGTTGAAAATATCATATCTAGAGACAAAGAAGATCACCTAAATCTAAAAAATGGTTCAAAGAACAAAGGATGAGAAAAAGATTTTCCATTCATTAGGTGAAAATCTTTATTCCCAGTTTGTTATACAGTTTTAAATCTTTTCTTGGGAGGACTGCCTGCTACAAATTCATGGTCTGTCATATCGGATCAAAATGCATTTTTACTTAATTCCAAGGAACCAAGTGATGTGCATAGTTTAGGCTCTGCAGCACAACTTTTGAAAACTTTGTTTTTTCTGTGTTGAGGCTCATATATTCAAGAAGGAAATTTCAATATAGCTTTTACAGTACACATCATGCCTAAGATCACATCGGCATGCTCCAATCGGCGAGTCGATAGGCGCGTAGTCGGCAGGCCGATCGGCACGTCGATAGGCACAGGTCGGCACGCCGATGGGCCTTGCCATCGGCACAGCAAAGTACTGCCGATCGACACAGTCATCGGAACCGCATTCCCATCGGCACTATCCATCGACTTCGTCGTGAGAATTACGTGTATCAACACATTATATTGCTCATCGCTAAGACGATAATATTTCGATTTACATTTAAAATTCGTGAGACATTAACCCGGGGACATTAATCCATACAGCTTAATGTAGGGGACAGCGGGGTAAGACGGAACGCGGGGTAAGACGGAACGACGGCTTTAAAACAAAAACTGTTTAAAAGAGGACGCTGAAGTCGACATTTTTTGAAAATATATCACGTGACCTTTCTTTTCAACCGCCATTTTTTTGGCGTCTGCAACTATATTTTGACAAGGGTAAATATATCGTTTTTCTAAGCCATTCTTATAACATTTCATAAGGTTTGGATCGCCTAAAAACCATGAATATACATATAATACATAGGAAATTATATATTTCTAAATAGATAATTGAAAAACCTACAATTTAAAAAAAAATTAAATCATTTAGCTGTCTCATTTTTATAGCAGACGACATTTTGTAGATCACGTGGTGGTGGGGTAAGACGGAACGACCGTTCCGTCTTACCCCATTTTCATTTATTTTACTTTTTACAGCACGTGTATAGGCAACAATGCCTCGCACATATGATAGAAGGACGACAAGGGGTGATTATGGTGACAAAGCTCTCCAGTGTGCCATTGCTGCTTATCATGGCCATCGCCACATGTCGATTGGGCAGGCATCAGTGGCGTATGGGGTTCCAAAAACAACCCTTCATAGGTAGGTTATTCAGGGCCTATATCATTTCAAGTTACCATAAACAGGGCACATTCCTTATATTTTTAACCATGAAAAGTGACACAACATGAAAAACGACCCATAGCATTGTCTATATCGGCATAAGCCCAAATTTAGCCTATGCTGTAACTAGGCGTGGGTATACCAAACTACAAAAAATCAAAAATTTAGGAACTTTACACGATCACCCCATGTAAACAGATCGCCTAAAATTACATTCGCATTCGTTTCCTGCCGAATGTGAAATCTCAAATCATGCGAATGTAATTTTAGACGATCTGACTACATGGGGTGACGATGTTTCTTTAAAAAATCAATTAGGCCTAAACTTGGACTCACGGGATGTCATCGCCTAATTTGGTTATTGTGGCAGAGTAGGTCGTTTTTACGAGACATTTTAAGATTTTCACATAATTGAAAAGCTGCTGCCAGTACACGCAATGACAATGTAAATCGTGCTTCTGCACGAAATTCTTCGGAAGTCTTTTATGAGCGAATACGAAGTTGCTAAAAAAACGTCGTAACTCGAAAATGATCGTTTTTAGCGTATTTTAACAAAGGCTTCTAATTATTATTATTGTTGATAGTATGTTGATTAAAATATTTCTTACTTCAAATACTTTCGCCTTATTTTAATTGATTTCATTAGACCTACTTCGCAACATTGGCAAAATTAGGCGATGGCATCGCGCAAGACTACTATGTTTAATCGACCATATACTTCACATTTTGAAGATCTCTTTTTCTCGTGACTTGGACCATGACCAACAATTATAACATGTGTACATATAGGTGTAGGGGGTAAGATTGTCTAGGGCCTGGACGAACGCAACAATACACTAATAGCCTAGATCTATGGCTTTAACCTATACCAGCCTAATTTCCCGTACGTATATTTTTCAGACACCTGAACATGAAGGTTAATACTCCAGGAACTGTCGTATTGGGGCCAATTGAAACTGTATTCCATCCCGGATTTGAAAAACAGTTGAAGGAACACTTTATTCAGATGCAGCATTTGATGTACGGAATCACGCCCGTCCAGGCTAGATCCTTGGCGTACAGCCTTGCCGAGAAATTGAATCTTACTCATAACTTTAATGATTATACAAAATTGGCAGGGAAAGATTGGTTAAACAATTTCCTCAAACGCGCAAAGCTTTCAATAAGAAAACCTGAGGCGACGTCAATTCATAGAGCCCTGGGTTTCAACCGGGAAGCTGTGGCCAACTTTTTTGAAAACTATGACGAAGCACTGTTTCAATTACAAGCATCAGCTGGCTTCATTCATCAGGATAGGATCTGGAATTTGGATGAATCGGGGATCACAGTTGTACATATACCAGGGGGTGTGATAGCCTTATGTGGAGAGCGTCAAGTGGGCCGTATGACAAGTGGCGAGAGGGGTAGAACTGTGACGGTTTGCGAAGTGATGAACACCATGGGTAGGTTCATACCCCCGACATTGATCTTCGGCCAGCGGGAGAGAATCCCCGCAACTTTCAAGGAAGGCGCGCCAATCAACACAATGTTTTTATGCACCAAATCTGGGTGGATGACCAATGAAATATTCCCTAGCGTTTTAGAACATTTTGCGACCCATACGTCAACTACACCAAAGAATAAATCTATACTTATCCTTGATGGCCATCAATCCCATGTTTCTTTGGATGCAATACTCACGGCTCGGCAACACGGTATAATTGTTGTAACCCTACCACCACATTGTACCCACAAGATGCAACCGCTAGACAGGGCGTATTTCAAATCGCTGAAATCGAATATGTCGTCTGTGAGTGATCAATTTATGGTCGACCACCCATTTGTACCAATACGGCAAGAAAATTTGTCTGAGATTTATGGGAAAGCAAGAGAAGCTAGCATAAAGCCAGATATCGGCATAAATGGATTTCGGTGTGCAGGCATATGGCCGAGAAATCCTGATATATTTACAGACGATGACTACGCGGCTGCTGACAGGTTCGCCTTCGAAGAAGATCCTGTTGGCGATGACACCACGTGTCTGTCATCATTGGCAGGTGTTCATCAACCTATTAACATACCTCAAGCTAACGCAACGTCTAAACAAACATGTAGTAGGCCAACGTCTCAGCCAGTGTCCGTTTCAACACAACAGACAATACCAAGCTCTACAATCCCAAGTTCTAGATTTATGCAGTCAGCTCATAGTGTTCCCTCGACATCCCAATCGACACCCGATGCTGATCAGCCTAATGAACTCAGTCGTCCTAAGAGCACTGCGTCAGTTACCGCATGTACTTCGTCTATCAATCCATCAAGATTTTATACCTCTGCACCAAAACCTGATCGCCCAACGTCTTCAACGTTTACATGCGCATTGATTGAGACCTCTCCTTTGCCTAAACACGTCCAGTCTAATAGCCAAGCAAAAGGCAGACGCAAATGTAGATCTGAACTTATTACGAGTTCACCTTACAAAGAGATGAAAGAAAACCAAATGTCCGCAAGAAAAAAAACAACATCAAACAGTAAAGTTAAAGGCAGACTTCCCCTCAATATCACTGAGAATCAAGATGATCAAGAAGAATATGTATGCCCATATTGTCATTCTCGGTATCAACACCCACCTTCGGAGGACTGGGTGCAATGCATATCATGCAAACTTTGGATGCACGAAAATTGTAAAGCCGTTGATGGACTAATATGTGACTTTTGTATCGAGTAGCCTAATCAATTGTTCCTTCTGTTAAGAACAATACAACAATCGTTTTAAATGTGAGGTTAAACATTGTCAAAATTATTCCGATGATTTCAACGCCAACAATGAATACTAAGTTGGAACTCCATGTGTTAATGCAAAGCAGCTAGCGTTGGCCGGTGTATGAGCATTGATCTTTGCATAAGAGAGTTCAATGTGGTATAGTTTAATATTGAATACCCCATCTGACCTAGTAAAGCGTTGATCCGATGTAAAACCTGTTCTTACAATTTTGCATTAAACCATGCAAATTAAATTCTCACGCGGTCCTAACTTCGACCGTTAATTTGAATTTTTGACCTACCGGATGTTTGAAATGAAGATAATTTTCGCGGTACCAACAATTAGATGAAAATGTTAAAGATCACATTTGGAATAAAAGTTTATGATATAACATATAAATTG